TGTTATTTCACTTAACAAAGAACAATGATGACAAACAGAAAAACACCTTTCAAAGTTCCAAGAAAAATAGACTACAAGTTTGAAATTGTCATCAGAATAAAAGTACTCTGAATAATTTTTTACCGTCAATTAGATTTAGAAAAATTTCGACTATTTATATTTTGACAGTTTGTGGGTAGATTCTCATTCAAAACCATTTTTTTGCTACCCTCTATTATCAATTTTTTTCCATCTTTTCTACTTGCCTTTTTTTTCACGCTTTACTAAAACTGGTTTGCCATTTCTTTTAAGGTTACTGGAAACTTAATGAAACTTAGAGTAAACCGTCCACCAGAAAATGGCATACGGATTAGTGATGAGGGACCAGTAAAAAATTTGGTAGAGCGTATGCTGAACAGTACTAGTCAGTCAAGCATTTTTCCTTCTTTAGACTTAAGGAAATTGGAGATGAAATTTGGGAAAAATAAAAAGTAACGTTGATGACGATGAAGAAGAAAGATGATCGACGTCTACTCTATTTTTATGTCTTCTTTTTTTTTCCTCCTGCATACTATCATCAGTTATAAACTGACGCAGTGTTTGTTGCATTTATTTCCTTCGTTAGCCTTTTCTGAAATGTGATGGTTTCTAGGACAGTAAGTTTTTTCTACGACTGTTACAAAACTGTTCCAAGGTGTTCCAAAACCGCTCAGAAATTTGCTGCAATTAGTTTAATACTTTAAAATTTCTATAGTTGTGCAACTAACATAGGAGTATAATCATCGTCTGCAGAAATGGAAAATGCAGCAAAAAACAAGACTTGTTAGCAAACTAGCACTGTAGAATTTCATTCACCCAGTGAACTCGTGACTTCCTAAGTTACTGCTAATTTAACCAAAGATTCAATGTACAACAACTGTGCTAATCTAATTGTCTGAGGTCTTTTTTTAAATTCAATTTCTAAACAAGTTTTTTTTTCTCAAAGGTTTATTCAGCACTCGATGCCGTTTAGTTAATAAAGCTTTTTTCGTGACATCAGTTGCAATGAAGACAGATTAGTGTGCATCTTTCTCCTTGATCCATTTCATCATTGCTTTTGAACGTAAAAAAAACGTTAATCGCAAGAAAGAAGGGCAAACGAAGTGCCAATGTTATATTTTTTGCTGAATACAGAGAGCTGTATTGGAATGTTGTTTAGACATATATTTAATTTCTTTTTCCTTCATTTTTTTGGCATCAAATAGAAGCATACAAATTAATTCTTTTCTTTTCTCACTTTTTATTTTTATTTCATAATTTTTTTAAGTTGTGTGGGAGAAAAAAACTGTTTTTTTAATATTAGCATCGCCGTTAAATATTATGATGAAAAGAAAACCAATTTCAAAGAACCAGTGATAGTAAAGCTGAAAAAAACTTTGTGCTTTCTGAAGAAAAAATTTTAACTAGTGGCATACCTGACAGTAGCCAACTGCTGGAACTTTTTCGGCAACTGTATACAGAATCCAACCGAGAGCATTTTTACCGGTTTGACTTGATATTATAGAGTTGTCTGGGAAAGTACGAGATAAATCCTTACGGATTTCATCGACAGTTTCTGCACTTACCGGGTACTTTTCGTCTGATAGTTTTGGACAATTGAGTAGCCAAATCTGAAAATTGATTTATTATTGCTCAACTATTTAATTAGCCTTACTGAATTATTTGGTGAATTTTTGTTTCAAATAAAGTCACAGTCGCTTTATCAGTCTTTCGCTTCATTTCTTCTGAGAAACTAATTGTTCTTTTACACAGCTAACCAAATTTCTGATAAAAAAACTTCATCAACTCCGACCAGCTGTTCTTTGACAACACAATTAGTGGTTTAAAAAAATGTCATATCAGTTGTAAATTATCATTGGCTGCGGTACTAATCTGAGAATTTTGTCAAGGAAACTAGGGAAATATCTCATTTGGTTTCTCACAGCTCTGAAATGTCCTTTGGCGAGAAATAAAATAATCTGTCCATCAAAATAATGCCAGTAGTGTTTCGCTTTCAACCGGTGTTAACACTGGTGCTATTTTAGTCATTTCGCATCGTTGCAACTTTTTTGAAAGAAAAAAAAATGCGGAAGAGCGTGAATTCTTTCAGACAGTGTTAAAATCAACAAATTCTCAGAACTAAGGACTAAGTGTCACGAAAAAATTGAAAAAATTTTTACGGTGCAAAAAGAAATACACTTTTTCAACAGACTATCAAATAACTTTAATTTTTGTTTTTTTAAGGCATTTTTTTCACCGTGGCAAATGCTTTTATTTATTCTCTTTTTCGTTACATTTTGCGCAACTCGTTCCTGTTCTTCTACTCGGTGAACTTGGTTTTAGAAATCTATTAATTTTAAACTAATACTTAGTAGTGATAAAGAAAAAAATTCTGGAAAAAAAGATGGAAAATTTTGCTACGATTTGCCATGTACAGCTTTTTTAGTTAGGTGGAAGGCGGAGGCCGGTAAGTGGGATAGGTAAGTGGGAGCGGGGTGTAAGGTAAACGGGATAGTTGATGATAATGGAGGAGAAATGGATAAACGGCAAATGAGTCGGCATATTCCTGGATCAAAAACCGGTTTTCTTCCTTCTACTCTTGATTTCTTAAATTTTGCTGATATAGAAAAAATTTAAGGGTTCTTTTTGTTTTTATTGAACAGAATTTTCAAAGCTTAAAAATAATTCCACTTGAACTACTGGATACTCTTTAAGTATCGAATAGCTAAAAAAAAAAGTCTAATATCCAGACAAATACAAATACAGAAAAAAAAAAAAAAAA